ATACTATAGCTAACTTGTGTATTTTTTAAGAAACTGAAGATATTTTAGTGTATTTATAAAGGAACATATTTGTTAATAAAGTTAAACATTTTGAGAAATATATAAGAAGCATATAAAGTACAAGAAGTATATAAAAGTAACAGCACACATCCTGAATGAGCTGAAKTTTTTGATATGAATGGCTAAAATAGATCAAAGTGTTCAGAAGGAGGTACACTGTGAAAAGTATTTTAGACTTTTTGTTGATTTAATGTATAATTTCTTGTTAATTTGATGAGCTATATGTTATTCTAAGAAACAATCTGACAGTCTTTGAAAACAAAAACGAGTAAAGTATTGTAAAAAACAACTATTTTATCAGTTATTAGAACTGTTTGCATGTGTTAAGTTAAAAAATTAAAAAGGTATATCGTAATTTTAGAAATCTGATGACACCAAAATATTTTAGCTAAATCAAAACAGATATGCAAGTTCAAACAATGTAAGTTGAACTAAAATATGTTAATTACTATTAATTGTTATGTAAACACTTAACTCAACTAAATAATAATCAAAATACTTAACTTTACCACATTATTTTAAGTTGAATCAGCTAGTTTTTTTTTAGAGCGTAGGAAAAAACAAAACAGTAAAACAATAATACAAATGTTAAATCGGCATTCACACAAATATTTTTCCACAACAGAGGACGCTGACAGAAATCCAGAGCTACACAATCTTGTTTGTGAGAATTACAACCTGTTGTGCTGCGGTCRGACATCTGATAGACCTTTATAAACATCATTTTCTTCCTCCCTCCAACTGTTTTTCAATCTTAAGCGTCCGCCCATCCTGCTGTCTCCCCCTCCTGTCCTCRTGGCAGAGACGAGAGACGGGAACACGGCCCGTAATCGCTGCMGTCTCCCTACGTCAATTTGTTCTGGTGTACCCTCATTACCATCTGCAGTCAGGGGACCACCGGAGACCCTCAGATGGATGTTAGAGTGAAGGATGGAGGGAGCGTGGCGACAGAAGGGAAGAGGAGGAACAACGAAGGACATGCGAGACAAAAGAAATGTGAGGAAAGTGTGAGATGGAATTTAAAGAGGACTTGTGAGGGCAGCTGTGACGTAGTGAGGTACAGTATCAGGGTATTCCCATCTGRTCTCATTAAGACCCAGCTCTTAAAGCAGCCCAGCACAGGTGCATCCACACACACACACAGAGCCACACTCACTGTCACATTTCATTCCTTGATGGATGAGCCCGTACAGCAGCGAGCCACAGTGGTCACAGAAGGTCGGGCTGCCGTATGTGTGAATCTTGAACTTATGTTTGCTTCTGGGGTCCTGGGAAAAGATAACAGACAGACAGAGAGAAGAGAAAACCTTGAGTTAAGATGTTATGCAACTTGTGTAAAGTTTAAAATAAAAAAAATTCAAGACACATTTTCGAATCCTATTGGCACCAGCCTGTTCTTGAATCTTATGTTTGTGATGTTATCCCCATGATGGAGCAAAGTTACTCCAAGTCCAGCAGCAATAATCCTGGGTAGGAAGGTTTAACATGCCACATACAAACAATTTASTCTTTATGTACAAGTGGGCAACTGYAATCTAAAAACACGCATAAATTTCTGGAATAATATCACAGGAAGACATTTTGGTGTAAATGTGACAAAGAAAAAACAGTTGATTTGAACAATTCTGACATTAAAATAAGTTAAACCCCATAAATTCTATATATTTTTGTGCTGTCTCCTCTTTAAAACTCAGATGTTACTGTTATAGATGAAAAAAGCTCTCAAAAATACAGAATTAGAGATTTTGGTGCTTTTGTCAATCTTGAGATAAGATAAGATAAGATATAACTTTATTGATCCCACAGTGGGGAAATTTGAACATTACAGTAGCTCAAAACAGTGGAGCTACAGTAACAGGTTGCCTGCCGTGGCGCCAACTTAGAAACAAAGAAAAACTGAAAAAAACACACAAGGGAAGGGAAGATGAAGAAAAAAGCAAAAACATCATATTATAACAACACTGTGACACACTATGGTGTTTATGAAAAAACCTCTGCATAGAGCAAGTTTATTAGCCAGGGGAGTAAGGGAGTTTAAGGGAGCCCGAAGAATCCAGTCCCCCAAAACCAGAGCAGCTATAGTTTAAAAATATTGATGGAACTGTTCATTTCTGTGAAGCTTTCAGCCAGCTCTGGAAAACAGAATTAGACGGGTGAGAGGAGGGGGGAAGGTATGGGGGCAGAGCCTTGTCGACACATCCAGCCAGGAAGAATTTAGTCAACAGATCCAAGGCCATTGTCGGGGAGATCCAGATTCTGTAATCAGTTGTTTTGGGAACAGAAAGAGTCAGGCAGATGACATCAATTTTCCATCTGCTTTAGAGTTTCTGCTGGTACTCTCAAGGTGGCGATCCCAATCAGGCAAAATGGTGTGGACAAATTCCGCCGAGCCGAATCTATCAGATTCCTTCAAGATCAATTCCATCTGGCCAGCAAAGTCCAGGGACCACAGCCGGCCCGCGACCCTCAATAGAACCGCTTGCAGACCGAGTCCAGCTCGCTCAAGGCAAAATGTCCGAGTTTTGATCGAATACGGCCACCCATCAAATTGGTCAGTCAGCCAGGAGATGAACAGCCGCCGACACTGATTTGCAGAACACCAGGAGACCACCAAGKCAATCTGTAGAATCCAGTGATCGGAGTCCAGACATAAATCCAGAACAGAGAAGAACAGAGGTCCCACCTTTAACATGTCCTCCCATGGAAGAAGAAAAAACTTTGTTCCAAAAGTTCTATTGAGAGACCAGCTAACCAAATCCATAAAAATAAAAATATCCATTGATTTCTTATTTCGGATGAAAAATGTAGAGAAGCCTCCAAGCAGCAAAGCAGGGAAAGATAAGGAAGGGCAGGAGAGAAYGAAGAAGTGTCTTACTCCTCCGAGAGCGGGAAAAAAATCTTAAAAGTAAATTAATAATAAATCCAAGACATACTTTCTTCACAAAGGAAATGCTCCATCAAACATTTACTCCTCTTTCATACGGCAAAAACTGAAATGCTAAACAAATCATCCAGACAAACATCTAAACCGATGCTGACTGTGCAAATAGGATGACATTTACAGGAAAGCCCCTCTCCTATTCCAAGCTCATAACGTTGCAGAATTAGCAGTGAAGTCTGGTGATCAGCTTGTTTGTTCGGACGTTTGGCGATCGGCACGGTAGGGTTAGTTAATTTCTGCAAGTCACCACAAAACAAACACAACTCTAATTAAGGCCTCTGTAAATGAGAGGTGGATAAACCCCCCTGTCAGTGTCGCCTCCATCAAGCTGAGCTGTGTCAGAGCGGCTGCGTGCGTAATTATACACATATCCAGGCTGCTGGCTGAGGAAGATGCCCACATCTTTGAAAAATGGTGTGTGTGTGGGCAAATATTTGTGGCAAATAAGATGTCAGAGAGCAGGGCAGAGAGATAGCAATACAGAAGTGTTTGTTTTCATTTAAATGAACTTTTAGAAAAGTCTCCTTAGCAGATCCATCTTTTAGAAAAGGAGGCCTCTTACCCTTCTCCTCTAGCATTTCTRTTTTGAGTATTTAGTTGAGTAAAAAATCCCAGCGTAGTCATGGCTCAATTCCTAAGGGAGTTCTCCCTCAAGAGCATTTTGTAATTATTATCTGTTTGTGGGAACGACGAATTTCTCCTAAAGGAGAGACTTGTTGAGAAAACTAAATTCAACAGGGACTCATGCTGTTTTCTGCCTCTTCTTTTCTGTTTAGTGTTTTTTTTTTTGTCTTTTCTTTTCTCTCTTCTAGTCTCCAAACAGTGATGTGTGCATGTGTAGCTGTGATGGTGAGCTTTAAGTTTTCTGTAATTGTCTCTTTGATTGTATTTCTTTTTCACTTGGATTAAAAAAAACCCACAGGCAGCCATCATGAGCCTCTAACTGCAGGAAATGTGAAGAAATAAATGACTCCGAGGCGCAGCTTTACACACAAATGAGGGTTTGCATGCCTTCATGTTTTCATTCACTTATCATCAGAGTTTGTTTCATTTTGTAACACATTTACTTTAACGTAAAGTAAATGACTTATCTTTACTCAATTCAGTGCAGTTTTTATTAAAATCATTATACCGTATTTTGTTTGTTTGTTTGTTTTGTGTGTGTGTGTGTGTGTCTGTGTGTGTGTGATTTTCATTACATTTTTCTGGCATTGATGCTCATGAATAAACACATCACAGCAAATTTAAACAAATGCCAATGTGAGTATTTGAACATTTCCAAGATGTTGCAAAGTTGATTAGAAGCTTGTTGGCAGAAGATTTTTTTTTCTGACTGATCTGCTCACTTATGGGATTTGTTTTCTCCAGCTGGATTCTCTTTTCAGAGAGGGTTCAGCGGCGAGTGTGTGAGGCTGCATTTTTTATCAACGCAGACCTGCTGAATCCAATCTTTTAAGTGCGGATGAAGAAGAAAGCAATATAAAGGTAAACCGAAGTCTGAAACAGAATGTACAATTTTTTAAGCTGGCTGCAAAGTGAAAATAACTTGATAGTGGCTCCATCTGCAGCAAACTTACTTCCAGATGTCCCATTTTTTTTATTTGTTAGGTGTAAATTAAGTTTGTAATCTCAATCATTCATGACAACATTGCTTGTATCACCATTATTTTTAGTCAAGTAATTAATTAGAAATCACTGAACTCAAATRTGATAACAAAGGTTCAGAACAGTATCTTCACAGAGTTTATGGCTCTTTGGTATCTCTTATTCAAGTGTTCATCCATCCAACAGTGGGTGAAATGCTTTAAGGCCAAAACAAACTCAAAACTTATAGTGTCACGACGCAGATCAACTTCATGTCAGCCGTTTAAAAACAGAGGAGCGTGCACGCCGTGCAGGAAGGACACGAGCAGACAAACCTCTGACACCGAAAAGAGAAAGCCGCTGATCTGAAGCCAGGACGGCTGCAGCGAGGCGAGGTGACGAGCCCTCGGAGCGAAACAACGACCACATCGTGCAGAGGAGCGAGAAGAAGTCGGTGACAGTGACTCAAACCATCGGGCTAATTATAGTCGGGCAGTGACGGAGACATCACCATCCCAGACAGCAGTGCATTATCATCTGGCAATGTCTAATTACTAAAACTTAAATTGCCAATTTTTTAATATGCTTAAGTATTCAAAGCATTTTTAAACTACAAGCTACGTTTATTTCATCCACACAGAYTATTATGAAATTCTCTGATTGGTTTTACTCTGTAATAAATTCTTATGAGAGCTCTTGGAGTCAAAGTGGGGTTCTGTGTCTTCTGAAGCAGTGGTTCCCAACCTAGGGGGCCAGAGATCATGGGGGAGAGGGTATCACCATGTCTGCCCAGAGGTTGTGAAAATATCAGTTTATTGTTTATATTGTTRATATTTGAGTGATTAAAGGGGTAATATGATGTGTTTCTCAGGCATACATTTAAATACTATACCATATTAAAGTATCTATGTCACTAAAATGCAGTTTTTATGTTTAAATAGAAAATAAACTTATCTTCTCATCACTTCCTCTTCTAGACACCTTGAAATTGGCCTCTGT